TCTTCGTGGCCAGGTTCGCCCCCTCCCTGTGCCCACCCCCACCCAGTGGCCTGCCCCACCCCCATTAGGGTTGCCAGGCATCTGGTTTTTGAGCGGAACGCCCGGTCAAAAAGGGACCCTGGCGACTCCGGTCAGCACTGCCGACCGGGCTGTTAAAAGTCCAGGCAGCGGGGCTAAGGCAGCTCCCTGCCCTGGCTCCGCGTGGCTCCCGGAAGCAGCGACAGGTCCCCCCTCCGGCTCCTAGGTGTAGGAGCAGCTAGGGGACTCCGTGCGCTGCCCCCACCCCGAGCGCCGGCTCTGCAGCTCCCATTGGAACTGTGGCCAATGGGAGCTGTGGGGGCGGCGCCTGCAAACAGGGCAGCTCACGGAGCCGCCTGGCCGCGCCTCTGCGTAGGAGCTGGAGGGGGGACCTGTCGCTGCTTCCGGGAGCTGCTTGAGGTAAGCGCCTCCCTGAGCCCGAGCCCTCCCCACGCGCCCCAGCCCACTGCCCCAGCCCTGATCCACCTCCCACCCTCCAAACCCCTCAGTCCCAGCCCGGAGCCCCCTCCTGCACCCCAAACCCCTCATCCCCAGCCCCACCCCAGAGACTGCACCCCCAGCCGGAGCCCTCGCCCCCTCCTGCACCCCAAACCCCTGAGCCAGCCCAGTGAAAATGAGCGAATGAATGGGGGGGGGGTAGAATGAGTGGGTGCGGGGCCTCAGTGGAGGGGCGGGGCCCCAGAGGCGGGGCAGGAGGCGGGGCAAGGGTGTTCGGTTTTATGCGAGTAGAAATTTGGCAACCCTAGACCCCGCCCTGTGCCTCACTCCTGCCCCGTGGCCCACCCCACTCCCACCCCTGCCTTATGCCCCGCCCCCTCCCCATGGCCAGCCTCGCCCCCTCCCTGCAACCTTGTCCCCTCCCTCCTGTGCCCCCCCCCCCGTGGCCAGCCCCACCCCCACCCCCTCCCTGCCCCCTCCAGGTGGCCCTAGAGCGAATGGGGACGTGGCACCTCATGGGAAGGCCCCAGGGCGGCGGGGGCTGCGGGTCGGGATTGAGGGGCATCGGCAGAGCCGTGGGTGGGGAGCGGTGCCTGGCCTGGAGCTGTTCTGTCCCCCGTCTGGCCAGGGCCCCTCAGCCCGGCCCCGGGGTGAGTCCGGCCCCAGCCTCCCGCTCAGACCGAGACCCCCCAAACTCACGTCCCGGGCGGGGGACCCCGTGCAGCCGGCAGATCCTCAGTCCATCCCACCCCGCCCGTCTGCGTGGTGGAGGAGGCCGCCCCAGCTCGGCAGAGGGGGCAGAGAGCCGTGTCCCAGGTCCCCCGGGGGGCTCGGCTCCCAGCCACCGGCCAACGTCCCACCTGCTGTCTCCCTCCCCAGGAGCAGAACGGTGAGAAAACCAACAATGGCATCCATTACCGCCTGCAGCTGCTGTACAGCAACGGTAAGGGGGGGCAGGGGCTGCGGGGCCGGGAGCTATGGGGCAGAGGGGGCAGGGGGCTATGGGGCCAGGGGCCGGGGGGACAGGGCTGTGTTGCAGGGGGCAGGGGCTATGGGGTCAGGGGTCTGCTGGGGCAGGGGCTATGCGGGCTGGGGGGCTGAGGGCTACAGAGCAGGGGGGCTGCAGGGCCAGGGGGCCGGTGGCAGGGGCTGGGGGGCTGCAGGGCTGGAGAGCAGGGGAGCTGCAGGGGCAGGGGGATGGGGGGCTGGAGAGCAGGGGGGCTGCAGGGGCAGGGGGCCGGTGGCAGGGGCCGGGGGGCTGCGGGGCTGGAGAGCAGGAGGCTGTGGGATCAGGAGGTTTTGGGGCTGGGGGCCGGGGCCTCAGCACCATGTATGGCCCCCAGGACTGACTCCCTGCCCCAGCCCAGCGCCTGCGGCTCTGTCACCCTCTCACGTCCATCCTGCGTCCAGCAGGGGCCGGGTGGGTCTCCTGCCTCCTCATCGATGTGCCGAGCTGCACGTTCTCAGGGGAGGCTCCTGGAGTACGTGGAGGCTGCGGGTTGGGAGTGAGGGGCACCGGCAGAGCTGGGGGAGCCCAGGGCTGGGCTGACGGGGGGCTGCGGGTCGGGAGTGAGGGGCACCGGCAGAGCTGTAGGTCTGGGGGAGCCCAGAGCTGGGCTAACGGGGGGCTGCAGTTCGGGATTGAGGGGATCGATGGAGCTGCACAGGCCAGGTGAGACTGTCTCCTCTCCCTCCCTGCAGGGCTGCGGACAGAGCAGGATCTCTACGTGCGGCTCATCGACTCCATGTCCAAGCAGGTAACGCTGCCAGTGGGGACAGCGCCGGGGGAGGCCTGGTCCGGGGCTGGGGGTTCAGACTGGGTCACCCCTCCACCACTCCCAGGAACTCCTGTGCCTCTGAGGTGCCACCCAGCCCCGGCCTGGCCTGGCCTGCATCTCAGGCCTTCTTCTGCCCCCAGGGCTTCCCCAGGAGCACCCGTGTCCTTCCCCACTGCCCCCTGGGTGCGAGCGGCCCCATGGCTCTGGTGCACCCAGCCCTGCCCCCGTCCAGACCCGCCCAAAGGTGCCCCCTTCCCTGGCACCCTCCGTGCCGCGCCCCTGGAGCAGACACAGCCCTGAGCCTGGGCTCTCCGCTGGGCTGCCTGCGGCTGGCCCTGCCCGTCGGTCGCCCTCCCTGGGCAGGGGCTGTCCGTGCCCCGTACAGCGCCGAGCGCGCTGCGGGCCCAGCACAGCCACTGGGGGTCATGGCAAAGTGAGCGAGGGCAGGTCCAGGGGTTCCCTCGCCCGCCCCCAGCTCGCGCCTCCCCTCAGCCTGGGGCTGGGCTGGCTGCACGCAGCCCTGCGTCCCTCCAGCGGTGCCACCCCGGCTCCCCCTGGATAGGCCGGCTCTGCGCTGCCCCGAGGGGTGGGAAGGGCAGCGAGAAGGGGTGGGGGAGCAGAGCGAGGGGGAGCGAAGTCGCCTGGGGGTGAGAGGGCCCCACAGCCAGGCCGAGCGTCGGGCAGGGAGCTGGGCCGGGCTCAGCGCAGGAAGGACGCGGAGCTGGCGGGCAGCAGAGATCGCCCCCGGCGGGCGCCCAGGGCCTGTATGGCTGCAGAGTGAGGGGAGGCCCTGGGGGCGAGGTCCTGGAGCGACGGGCTCCAGCGGAGGATGGGCTGGCCGGCCCACGCAGCCCCCTGGCCGGGCAGCTCCCGGTTTGCTCCGTTCCCTCGGGGACTCTGAGACGCTCGGTCCCAGGTTCCCGGCCTGCGAGGGTCCAAGCCGCCCGCCTGGCCGGTGCCCATTGTGATCAGACACCCCCCCGGGCCGCGCGCTGGCAGATCCCCTCACCCGGCGCTCTCTCCCACCAGGCCATCATCTACGAGGGGCAGGACAAAAACCCCGAGATGTGCCGTGTGCTGCTGACCCACGAGATCATGTGCAGGTAGGTGCCGGGCTCTGCCTCGGGGCCGGCGGGGCAGCGAGAGCGCGCAGGGGCCACGTCCCCGCCCGGCTCCCGTCCAGCCACCCGCGCGGCTGCAGGAGTCGGCCTGCAGGCACGGCATGCACTGCGCACGCGGCCGGTGGGGGGCACTGCCAGCACGGCCGCCGATTCTGCCTGGGCTCTCGCGCCGCGCCCAGCGTCAGCCGCCCTCCTCTCTCCGTGCCCCCGGGCCCCCGCCGCCAGGCTGGGCGGGAACGCAGGGCACCTTCCGAGGGCGGCAGAGGCAGAGCCGTGGCCGGGTTGTTCGGCGCACTGGTGGGAGGAAGGGGGCAACTGGGGGGCATCCATGCCCGACACACGGCCGGAGCCCGAGGTGGCCAGGCCGGAGCGCCTCCCTGGAGCGCCGGAGACCCGTGCCTCCCAGCCGGCTGCACACAGGTGGGTGGAGGGGGGGTGGGCAGCAAGCCAGCGGGGCCGGGAGCGTCTCCCCCCAGCTGCGTCTCTGCCGGGGTCCCTGGTGCCCCATTAGAGCTGCCTTGTTTATGAGCCTCGTGCTCGGTGTTTGTGGGAATTAGCGGCTGTGTCAGCGCCGGCTTTCCCAGCTAATTGATCTCCAGGAGCCTCACTAATGATCTCGGGGCTCAGGGACTAGTGGGGTCCCGGAGGGGGGGGGCTGCATACCCAGCCTCGGCTTTGTTTGTGTAACTGAGCCGCCCAGGGGCTCCCCTGCCTGCCTGGGGCCCGGCCTCCCGCTCGTCTCCCGCCCAGCCCTGTTTGGGGGCCTGACCATGGCCCAGCTGCGAATGGGGCCGGGCCGGGGGTGGGGGGCAGAGCCTCCCCCGCAGGGCCAGCGCTTCGAACCCACCTGGCTGGCAGCGAGCGAGCACCAGCGACCCCCCCCCACGTACCCAGGGCTCGGGGAGTGGAGCTAGAAGGGCGCAGGGGGAGCCGGGGGGCTGTGCGCCCCCAGCAGACGAGCCTCTCGATTGGTGCTTCGCCCCCAGGCTCACAGCAGGGCCTAGTCCCCTGTGTGATTAACCCCCAGCCCCAGAGCACCCCCAGAGCTGTGCGGGGGCCATGACAGCCGCTCCCACCCAGGGAACAGCACTCCCGGCCCCCAGGGCGCCCCCCAGCTCTCTGGGGCTTCCCACAGGGGTCATGGGGGGCTCCTAGCCTGGGCCATCCTGTCCCCCTGCCCCCATCAGCCGTCCCTGGGGGTGGGAGGGGCGCCAGGCCGGGGGTGCTGGGTTCTCCTCCCCCACTTACCCCAACTTCTCTCCCCCTCGCCCGGCCCAGCCGCTGCTGTGACAAGAAGAGCTGCGGGAACCGCAACGAGACGCCCTCCGACCCCGTCATCATCGACAGGTGAGCGGGCCCCGCGCGCCGTCCCCTGCGCCAGGCCGTGGGACCCCCCCCCGACTGTCCTGAGGTCCTGTCCCGCTCCCCGCGCCCTGCGCCAGGCCGTGGGACCCCCCCCAGACTGTCCTGAGGTCCTGTCCTGCTCCCCGTCCCCTGTGCCAGGCCGTGGGATCCCCCCAGACTGTCCTGAGGTCCTGTCCCGCTCCCCGTTCCCTGCGCCAGGCCGTGGGACCCCCCCCCCCC